CTGCTGAAGAAAGCAGAGGAGCAACAGGAGGGGCTGCGGGTACAGCTGACGATACTGGCAGAGGAGAAGGAAGAAACCCAAGAGAAACTCAGTCAGGTGAGACCAAAAACGTGGTGCTTCTGGGTGGGCATTTGGCTGCTTGGCTCAGTGAAGCTGTTCTCTGTTGGATTCTGCAGTGTTTTTGTCAAGGAGACACTTGGTAGTGCTGGAGGTCAGAAGGCTTTGTTTGCTTCTTTTTGGAAACGTGTTGATGGCTTGCAGAGCTGTTCTGCAGTTCTCCGAGCTGTCCTCTGCTTCTACAGATTCTTTTGATCCACCTGTCTGTGTTGGTCTCTTTTTTGGCTTTTGATAAGCTGCAGAGAGATGATTGTGTTGCCCATGAATCTGAGCGGGGCTACTACTCTCACATGTGGCAAAAGAAACAAACTGTGTAGCTCTGAATCCTTTTTCTGAGGCAAGAACAGGGCTGCATGTTTCTATTTATGCTTTTTGTAGTGAAGTCTGCAACTTTCAAAACTCCCATTTGTTTGAGCCTAGAGAGCGGGACAAAGCTGCAAGTCAGTGTCTGCTGTCTTGTATTGCTAAGAGTGGGAATGACATCTTGACATTGTTGAAATTGTATTTTAAGACATACTGCGTTCAGTTTTGGGCCCCTCACTACAAGAAAGACATTGAGGTCTGGAGCGTGTCCAGAGAAGGGCAACGAAGCTGGTGAAGGGCCTAGAGCACAAGTCTGATGAGGAGCGGCTGAGGGCACTGGGGTTGTTTAGCCTGGAGAAAAGGAGGCTGAGGGGAGACCTCATCGCTCTCTACAACTACCTGCAAGGAGGTTGTAGCGAGGTGGGGGTCGGTCTCTTTTCCCAAGTAACAAGTGATAGGACAAGAGGCAACGGCCTCAAGTTGCGCCAGGGGAGGTTTAGATTGGATATTCGGAAATATTTCTTCACCAAAAGGCTGATCGAGCATTGGAACAGGCTGCCCAGGGAAGCAGTTGAGTCACCATCCCTGGAGGTATTTAAAAGACATGTAGATGTGGCGCTTAGGTTTAGTGGTGGACTTGGCAGTGTTAGGTTTACAGTTGGACTCGATGATTTTAAAGGTCTTTTCCAACCTAGACGGTTCTATGATTCTATGAATTGTTAGAGCCTCTTTAGGCTTTGAGGAAGAAGATGAGAAATAGGTGATCGCACAAGACTCTTCACTCTGGACTAACTGATTTTGGTACCCTGGAAAAAGAGCTGGGGAGGATCCTGTCACTGTAGGAGACTAGGGAGTTTGTCATCATTTAAATGTCAGTTTCATAATGTACAATCTTGGGTATTATGGGGTAACTTTGAGAGAATTGTTTGTTTCTGATGGTCTGTTCTCTGTTAGATAGTCTTAGTTTTGGAGTACGTGGTATGTTTGGCAAATGCACAGCAGAGGTGTTATACTGAAGAAAGGAGCTAAAAAATCATGGATAATCTTCAAGCTTGAATACCAGCAAGGTATATTAGACAACTTCTTTGTGTAGGACAAGTAAACAGTATTGTTGACATGAACTGCTGTACAAACAGAGTCTACCACCTCTCGGGCCACGTCAGCCAGACTTTCGTAAATCACTAAATGACACTGCTGACCGCAAGGGCTGTTTCCCTGCCAAGCATCACCTCATTGCGTCCGACTGCTTTACACGCTGAAGTAGGTGACACTTTGATCTTTTTTTTTTTCTAGAAGGAGAAACCATGTGTATTTTCACTTTCTTCAGCGAGCAAAGTTGCTTTTGCTCAACCTTTCCTGAAAATTTCCAGCACTGGAGTAGATTCTAATAGAGTTTTAGTTTGCAAGGTTCTGGAGTTCTGGAAAATGCAGTATTTTTGCATGAAAACACGTAGTCTGGGGCATGTATGTTTGTCGTGAAGGAGCTGTCTGGTCCCAGGCAACCCATGGGGCCTTGATGGCCTTACTCATCACTGTCAAGTTAACAGCGCCAGTGCCTTTTGGCAGCCCAGGGTGTTAGTGCGGTATACAGCAGGTGCTCTTAAGCTTTCAGCCCACAGTACAGGAGCTCTTTCTCCTCGAGCTGATTCAGAAGTGGCACTGGCTGGCTCTGCAGAGAACTCCAGAGAAAGGTCTCTAACTGTATTTTGTCCCGCTTTCAGGTTTACCGCCAGCAAGAGTCGGCTAGCAGTGGTCTGGAGCAGTTGCGCCAGGAGTCCTCTCGCCAAGGGCATGCACTGGCCAAGGTGTCCAAAGAGAAGGAATTGCTGGCGCATGAGAAGGCTGCCCTAGAGGTGCGACTGGCAGCCATGGAGCAGGACAGACGAGGCCTTTCAGAGCAGCTGGCAGAGGCCAGGTAAAGGCAGGGAGGACACCCTAGGCAGGACCTTATTTAACGCCTGTAGTTATAAAGGTGGTAATCGTTGCATGAGGATTTATTGCATCCTGTGTGCTTTTCAGATGTTTTCACCTTCCATGGACAGAAAATGGAAGAATCTCGAGCAAAAAAAAAAAAAAAGTATACCATGATTTGAATGTTATTTTTCTGACAGCTAAAGCTAGCAAAGCTCTCCTGAGCTTTGGGCTCATGTTTATGCCCCGTTGCACATTCCTGTGTGAAGTCCAAAGCAAGCCAACTTGGCTCTGAATTGAGTAATCGTTAAACCATGCAGATGTTTCCTGAAACCTGAAGTTTCTCTCTGGTTTTGGTTTCTTGTTCTGCATTTGAACATAGGTCTTTCCTTGTCAAGTAGTTTGACGTGGGATCTTCAGAATTCAAGGCTATTACATACGGACGTTGTGAGTAGGACACTGCCATTTAGGGTGAAGCTAGAGGCTCACGCTGAAAATCTTGAGGGCCTTCTGTTTCTAAGCTAACTCTTGTTAAGTGTGGTGCAGGACCTAGAGTTGGTTACACCAGCAGCAGGGAAACCTCTTGTGAATTCTCGACAGTCTTTGGGGATTCTTGCCCATCATTGATGTCTAGGTCCTGTACTCCTCACCACATGTTGTTGAGAGGCAGACGTCATGGCGAAGTTATACAGGGAAGGAACAAGATTCTCTGCTGCTGCTGTATCAGGTTTCTAAGACCAAATGTGACAAGTCCTGCTTTTCCAAAAAGAAAAAGAAAAAAAGAAGAAAAAAAGCATCGAGACGTTTGTCCTCCTCTTAGGTGTTTTTCAGAAGACTCCTGAACTTGCAGAGCTGTACAGATGATGTTTTGGAGATTGTTTGGCATGCTTCTTGACTTCTACACGTTACTACTCCAGAGTATGTTGTTAGCGAGGCTGATAAACACCGTTTTGACTCAGTGTGTTTCCTGAGAGCTGCTGCTTCTTCTGAGCTCCAGCTTCTCTTATTTGATCCAGCTGAATTATGTTTGGTCAATTACTGGGCTGTTATTAAATGATTATATTCGCCATTTCAGCGAAGCCACCGAGGCGAAGGGCTCCGAAGCGGAGGATCGCGCCGGGGGACCCTTCCTGAGGCGGCAAAACC